TTTTTACTTAATAGCTTACATGGTCTTACATTATTAAATAAATTCCCAGTAGGAATGTTTCATGCTAATTAGGGTCACCCATCCTCTTGGATGAACTAGCAGGAACAACTGCTCCACACCCTGTGAAAGTGCTGCTCTAAACCCGTGTCCTTTTGCCATACCCAAAGCAGTTCATGTATGTTTGCTGCAATTCTCCTGTTGTTACTACTTCATTGACTTATTTCTCCAAGATCTCCCCTAGCAGCATAGATGTAGTATCTATTTATTGAGGAAAAAAGCTGTTTGCACAAACCCGTTAGTCCACCTCTAATCACACTGGGGGAGATTTCTATCTACATAGACTGTCACATGCACCTCAGTAAAGTTTTACCTCATCAGTTTACTCAGAGTAATTCCTTTCTTTAAAGTTACAGGACTCCCCTCACACCTTTGTGACCTAAGCTGTCCTTTGGGTATAGTTCATAGCTGGGAATTACAGTATCTTATTGGTTTTTGGCATTGCATCATATTTCAAGCTGTCTATTGAATAATGTGTATGCTATCAAGGTCCTCTTCTCATACTAAGCAGGAGTGTCTAGGGCTGTCAATCTTACTGCCATTCATAAGTATAACATCCACTAAAAATAAATAGAAAAAAAGTGGTGTGACAATGAAAAGCTGTAATGTGAAGACATTGAAGAAAAAGGCTTTTGTCAAATCTGACTAGCATGGAATGTGTCATATAACACTACCCAAACTGTTTGACAAGAACAAATTATCGCAAGATTCCCTATCAAAATAAGCCAAATCCATTAAAATATACAAATAAATCCCAGCTATGAGAGCAGTGTCCTGTATTACAGGAAACAATGTTTATTAGATTACACTATTGAATTAAAAAACAGTAAATGTCCTTATCAATAATTAATCAAGAGCTCCCTATTTTTTCCTAATTGACAAATTATAAAAATCTTTAAGTGAAATTAACTTCAAAACTGATGGTGTAATTCCATAGGGTTACTATCATATTGAATAAAACAGAGATGTAAAAGATGAAAAAAACCTGACACCAACAAAATGTAGATTAACTGCAGAAACAGACAAAAGGCCACAGCAGCAGATCAAAGAGAGAGCAGCTTGGCAACGTATGATGGAGCATTACCATAATGAATTTTGTGAGTAAGCAGTGTCCTTTAAGATAATTCTTTTGATCTCTTAAGAAGGTATTAACTATAATCAAGAAAGGGTTTACTTAGCAAAAAATAAAAAATAAATTAAAGGAGGAATAGACTTATCTAGGATTTAATTTTAACCCATTTCCAGCACCTCCATCATGATGTTTCACAGATTTCTATCAGGCTTACCCCGATTATCTAGGCTGGGCTTCTGAATTCCAGCCAAAAGAACTTCCTGCAGCAATTCCTGACTTGCACACTCTAAGAGCAATTTCCTCCTATTTCCTTTCAGGATTAAGAGTGAAAGTGAGAGATTAGTCAGGTATTTAAATTTAGCTAGATTCCAGCTCAGTTTCCTGGACTAGAAGGAAACCCAGGTCATCAAATATCTGAGTAGAAATCCAGTTCAAGGCTTCCCTGTAACAAATGTGAAGTTGAACCCTCCCAGCCCAAGGACAGATGGAGAGGGTTGAGGGTGCTCTTATGCAGTTAAGGTGGGATGGTAAGGCCAGACAGAAAAATCCCGAAAATCTGGGTTTGCTGTCCCCACTGCTGCTGGCTGCAGTGTAGCCGGGGCAACAACCACTGCTGCCCTTAGGGACTATTCTGCCATCCCAGTTTCTCTCCATCCCACAGTTAAGAGGCATCCTCACACACACACACACACACACACACACACACACACACACACACATTTTGTCTCAGCAAAAGCAGGAGCCATCAGCAGTTAGAGCCGTAGCTTTTCTGGGGACTGCAAACTAGCAACACCGTGGGATTACAGTTGCCATGGGCAACTGGCTGGCTGTGTCTCTTCCTCAACCCAACCTCTTCTGGGCTGTGCTGGGCTCGCAGTGAGCAGACAGAACTGAAGTACCTCCACAGAAAGCCTAAAAGACTGAAGAGAACCTGCCTTGTTCTGTTCAGGTTTTGATCCAAACTAGACTAGCAAGTGTACAGGAATCATGGAGCAGACTGCTGCCCTCCTAGGCATCCAGCTGCCTGCTGGTGCCATCCGCCAGGCCAGGCCACGCACCAGCAGATCAAAAGGAGCTGTAACTGTCATTACAGCTGACATAATGAAGACATGGTGCTAATAATTGTTTGGAGCAGGAGTCTGCTCTTTTGAGAAATTTTCCCGAATGCTGTTAAAGGGGCCCTGCTTGTTTTCAAACGAGCAAGTGAAATCTAAGGCGCTCAGATCTGCTAACAATTATCTTCAGAGCTGCTCTTGCCGCTGCCTTTCCCCACTCTGTCCATCACACGCTGCCTCGGAGCAGGAGGTGCACGGCAGGTTGAGTGCTCTGTGGGGCGGGAAGCCATTACGCCTTATTAACTTTGAGTGACTAAGTCTTTTGTGCAGGAGCTGAATATAATTAAAACACATTTTCATTGCTAAGCTGTTCGAATGAGGATCTGGGCTTGGGCTTCTCTGTTTGCTCTACCTGACTAGTGAGTTTGTGAAAAATAGCAAGGCTGAAGTTAAGAAAAATCTAAAATTATTTCTTGATGAAACGATAATAACAACACCACCAAAAATTAGAAGGCAACATAACAGTGACTACAGGTTATTTAAGCCACACAGATATCTGATGTGAAAGGCAGGTATCTCTCATTTCAGAAAAACAGAGAATTACTCAAAGTGTGGGAACTACTGTTTACACAGGCTCAGGCAAGTCTCTTTCCATACTTAATATGGCTGTTGACTTTGGAAGATTCCATTTTCCAGCCTTGACTTAAGCTACAGAAACTACCAGAGCCATCTTAAATTATTTAAAAGACACTTCAGCAAGCTGGATATCCCTTCCACCCTAGTGGGAATTCCTGCAAGGAACTGATCAGGCTGAAATATGCCAAAAACCAATGTTTGGCATAAGTGAGTAACTGTGGCTGCTGCTGCTACAGTAATTTAAGAAAGGCAGCAGCTGGGAAAGGCTGTTTCTCATGGTAACCCTTTCCATGTGTGTCCTCCACCCAGATGTAAAGTCAAAGACCCTCCTCTCAGAGGAGCAGCTTTGAAGTTCTTAAGTGATATTTAACTCCAACAACATAACCCTTTATCGTTGCTATAAAGCAGCCAGTAAAATAAGACACCACACCCCAAAGACTCTAGGACTTCGAAGAGAATAGTCAATGCAGAGGAAGGAGACACAACCTTGCTTTGCTCAGGAATCCTAAGAATTGTGCAACATTTTAACAGCACTGTTTGATGTCGGAGAATGCAAAGCCACTCAGAGAGATTTTTATCTCCTCAGCTCAAACAACAGTGGTAATAGAGACTCCACCATCTGAGTGTGCCTATGACCTGATTTTTGGCTGCTTCTCTGAGATACTTTTGAATTCATATGCTTTTAATTTCTGAAAGAAAAAGTGTTTGGGAAAGGAAGCGAGCATGAAAAATATATCTGCAGTCTGGGAGCTACAGTTAATAGAAAGGAATTGTCTGTTTCTTATTTATGTATATAAACACACAAAGTGATGATGAAGGACTCTAGATTCTCTGAGAGTTTTTCAGAGTATAATGCAAAAAGCAGCCCCCATAATCTAACATAGAGCTTGTCACATACAGATTGATGCTATTCACCCGTGGAGGTGAAGCAACGGGGTATGTCACATGCTCTTTCCCCACTCCTAACGAGCCATTCCCAGAACCTTGTGGTACTGGCATGAGGAGGAGCTCCAGAGACTCTTCATCCAGCCCTTACATTTACATAAATGAAAAACATTTTGATCACACAATTTAATGGTAGAGTTGCATCTATTTGACACTGTAAGAATTATTTCGTGATAGAGCAGGATCAAGTATCTAATACCTTTGTATTTCTTGAATGAAAGCTGAGGGAGAAAGGGAGCACATTTGTTTGAACAAAATGCCTTATTTTTAGTGGTAGTTCCACTTCCATCCGAATCCTCTTCTGTTATTCTACAAATATTCACACTAGCTACTTTATTCCTTAAAAAAATGCTCAAAATGCTCTAGCATTGCTTATAACTCTATGTATGTGGATATATCATATTCATATGAAATATTTGTGGAGGAATTGTTCAAGCAACAAGCTGAAAAAGGGGCCTGAAAGCTCAGGGGAATGCCATAAACTTGGGCCATCAAACACAAGATAGAGTAAAACAGTCTGCTTTCAAAGCAGAGCAGCAAACAATTAATGAGAAACGTATTGGATGACAACCCTTATCAGCCACTTCTGAAATAATTGCAAGTATGTTTACAAAACTCAGAGCATATTCAATGACAATTTTAAAAGTGAGTATGAAACTCAATTCATTAAATAGGTTAATTATTTCAAATAATTCAACCACTTCCTGTAAATCACAATCTGTAGAAAGCAGCTCTGGCTGAGAAGGCATTTCTGTTCAGCATGGCTTGTCACCATGGCCCTTCTCATGCCTTCTGGTTTATGTAAATTGCGATGGCTCCAGTTCTTTTCTCCATACAGTTACTCATTGCTTTGTGAAGGATATATAATGGTGTTAAAATGGAGTGTTTAAACCCAAAGCAAAGCATCAAACAAAAGCTCCTCCCCATTTTGTCAGTATTGTGAACATATAGGGTTTGTGTGGATCAGCTTTACTCGTGAAGGATCCCCCCAAATAAGAATGCTGTTTGGACCGTACCTGAGTCTGCCACACAGCACGAAGGCCTCTTCCCACTGTATCACCAGCCACCCAGTACCAACAACCTCTTCAGTGGCACATCAGAAGGGCAGTACCCATCTCCTTGGCAGGCACCAGATGCCATTTCCTCAGCAGGCACTGGTAGTCATGTCCTCAGGGGGCACTGGTGGCCATCTCCTCAGCAGGCACTGGCAGTCATGTCCTCAGGGGGCACTGGTCGCCATTTCCTGAGAAGGATATTCCATCCATTTCCTCAGACGGTCACTGTCATTCATTTCTTCAGCAAGGAAGCACCCACCAGCTTTGCAGGCACCTGAGGCCATCTCCTCAGCAGGGCACTGTCGGCCGTTTCCTCAGGGACGAAGCACTCAGACCTCAGCAGGCATTGACAGCTATTTACTCAGTTGGCACTGGCACCTGTCTCCTCTGCATAGCATGGGCTGCTATCTCCTCAGCAAAACGCAGGCACTAATCTCCTCAGGTGGAACCTACTCCTCCTCTCTGTGGTGCCAGGAACTTCCCAAGAGCCCCTCTGTGGATGGGCAGGGGTGCTTACCTGGTGCCCTGCTGGTGATGGGGTACACAGATGCCCAGCTGCAAGTGAACTGTGTGCCTGTGGCCTGCAGCGAGGGATGCAGCATCTTGGGAGAAAGGGTGGCAGGATCAGGCACATGGCAGGCAGTGCAACTGGCACAGCAAAAAGTGGGGAATCGTGATGTTTCCTCACGTCTCTGCTGCCCACAGAGGCTGCAGGATGGCAGCAGGACCACACGCAGGGGCAATCACAGTGGCCATTCCCACATGAGGGGAGCAGATCCCTGGTTTGGAAGGCCCCAAGGAGCAGATGAGGCAGTAGGAAGTAAAGATGAGCAGAGACCAGAGCACTCAGAACCATTGTGTGAGGTATGCCTGTGAGGGTTGATCTTGTGGGCTTGGCCTCGGCCTCAGTGACACTGCTATGGCGTTGAAAGGGAGTGAATGCACTGACTGATTTGAACCCGCTCCCATCCCTGCTCTCTGCATGACAATGATGACACACGACAGGGGTAATCCTAGGATCCATGATGAGTGTGCTGTGAGAGACTTCCACACAACAGCACTTCACACAAAGAGGGAATGCCTGCTGAAAGCCTGCAGCAGAGTGGGAGGCCTGGTACTTGTCCTCCACACCCTCATGCTGTGGGCAGACAGGTGAAACGGGTCAGGTGCTGCTGCTTCCTTGAGTCTTTGGTGGCTGGGATGCATCACTCTGAGGAATCATCAGAGGAATGGAAAAGGATAAATCTGAAGGTGATCAGAGGTCTGCAAGCCATGTTAAGTCTGCTCACCTTGCTTCCTTCTCAGACCTTGGGCTTGTCTTATCTCCTAAGTACAAGAGAAATCACAGACTCAGTGGGTTATCCTAAACACAACAGTGGAAATAGTTTTGGGAAAGGGTCCTTTGGATGCACAGACCTGAGAAAAATGTAGTTCAACATATGCTGAATCACAGACTATTTGCCATTGCTTCTCGCAGTGAATGAGTTTTCAGGATCAGTCCCTGTGTCCCTTGTTACCTCACTGGCCTCTCAGGTACAGACAGCTATAGCACACTTCAAAATTTGTGGATTTTACCAGTTCACGTTCATGCCCAGGAATCTTCATGCACTGAACTTTTTTCCTACAGATTTGGGAAAGAGCATTGTAACAAAAACTATCTGCACTTACCAGACAAACCTGCCTAGGTAAATTAATCAATATATACCCCTACTTATTTGAAAACTCTCTACTGATCGTCTTTGTAACTTGAATGATTTGAACATTGAGAGAGTTAAAGGAATGAAAATCATGGTAAGGATGAAAACTTGAAGCATTTCTATTCATGCCACTTAATTTTTGAGTACTTTTACTTACATTAATATTATTGAAATATAATTAATTTCAATTTATTGTTTAAAAGCTATCACGAGCATCTTACAACAGCCAGCTAAAAGCCAGCATCCAGCAAACTGCTCACTGCCAGTGCTCTTCTTCTGCAGTGCTGTCTTTTGTTAATTCAGGCAACAGAGTTTTGCCTTTTCATAGTCCATGGCAATTTCTCATTGTTTTGCACTAACTTAGGGTGTTGCATACTGAAATGCAGTATTCTTAGGATAATTTAAATGGAAAATATAACTAAAACCACACCTTAAAGCCTCCTGTGCATCTTCAGATTTGTATTGTCTGGCACTCTCTGTCTTCTACATTCCTTTATTCCCCAAATCCAATCCACATCCCTAAATTACTTGACAGCGTGCCCCAAAATATCTAGCAAGACTTACATATAAGGTGGGTGTTTGTGGCATTTATTAGTTAACAAGAAAAAATTTACTGCTAAATTGTTTCTGGTGATATGTATTAGATTGCTGCTACGTGGTATTTGCTGTGTGTTCATATGCCATATAATCTGTGTTCTTTACTACCTGTAAAAGATTAATCATAAAGGCAAGCTGTAACTTCATCACAATCAAGGTAAGAAAACTGCTTTTATGGTTGCCTGGGTTTTATTACCCACAGATTTTATAGTAACTATTAGATCTAAAATATAAAACTTGTTCATGTTCAAAAAGTTTAAATGCAGTCAGGAAAAACTTTGCGACCAGGAGAATACACACAGTAAATGCAAGAGGGAACATTATGGAGTAGACAGGAGTATATTGGCAATATTACTCAACACAGAAGACAGGGCTGAGAGTGTATTTCTCATGACTGACTTTTTCACACCGTGGGTACTGGAAGATAAGTTTTGGGTTTGCGTTTCAGGTTCATTTGTTTAATTCATTATGCAGATATTACCACTGCAGCCGACTATTTCTCAGCAAAGAACTGTACCTTGTCCAAAAGCCTTTCAGACACATTAATTAACCCATTGCTTTGCCAACAGGATCTAATAATTAGTAGACTTCTGGGTAAAGGAACTGAAATCAGAGATGCTGTTAAAAAAAAAATAGTAGAGGAAGGCCTCCTACACTTTTTGTCATATACACAGATATTTAAATAATAGTTTGTCTTATGCTCTTTGCAATATGAATAGTATTAATCCTATTTTTGTTTGAGATGAGATGGATTGGAGGTGAATTTCAGAAATACTGTGCAGAGGGGGGTCTCAGCCAATAACCAAAAGAAGGGAACTGATGAACAATTGTTTTATCATTGTGTTACTAGGCTATTGGCATCAGACAAAATGCACAGTGATGTGGCTTTGTGTTCTTTCTTATGATATAACACAAGGATCTAAAAAAATGTTTGCTTTCTTTAAGGAGTATCCCTACCTCTAACCACAGCCTCTTCATATGTTAAAATTTTAGGTATTTTCATCCCATGAAAATTATATAATTACTGAAGTTACCAAAATCATCACAGTATAAAAGCCACTAGACTGGAAGTTCAACGGTCAGCAAGTGAAGGGCTTTATCCTCAATTTGTTTAAAACTATTTGCCATTTATTTTTTCCATAAAAATGCTGACTTATAGTGCTAAAGATTCAGTACAGATGCAATGATAAACATCCTGCAATACTTTGTACAAAAGTACAGAAACAAGAGCTGCCAGTCCTGATATTCCTGATGTAAAAGGCAGGTTGAAGTTAGCTTATTCTTAAAAATCTATACAACTTTTCTCACTCTCATTGTACAGAAGAACAAAGCACATTTTAAAAATCATGCATATGTCCCTTGTAAACTTGTATTAAATGTCCCTTCTCTGGTTTTTAGGTGTTGGTCATATCTCTTTTAATGTCACCATGCCACTTTTTTTTTTTCCTTCACTAAGCTTTCAAGAAAAATGAGGTAAGAACAGAATCTTTCAAACAGATACAGCATTTTGGAATTTTTCAAGCTGTCTTCCCTAAAAAAAGGAGAACAGTATATAGAGAGAGGAGTGTGTCCAGAAATATCTTTGAAGGTGAATATGGAAAATCACTTTAATAATCCCTCCAATATCTGTCCTTTCTTTGCCTACCAAGTGTTTCTGTATTCAGTTGATTCCACCTCCCCATGATGAGCTGGATGTTCCTATCTCTCCATGGTTATCACTAAGAGATTTGATTCTGGGCAGGTAGACAGAAATGCATCATGGCAGCAGCATCTTCAGACTATGCACGGTACAGGGTTTCTGTGTAAACATCAGTTTTTCCAGATTGCTACTGCCTGAAAGCTTTAGAAGCTATGCTCGCAACTTGTTCCTACTCTAATAAATTTTGTGAATGTTTATGATTGCAACAGCTCTGCTAGGGCAGGCCAGGACCAAGGCCTGACAACTTGAGTAATGCTGAAGTGTTGGTAACTGTTCACCTTAAGGCTGACACCTTCTTACATCCTTGGGCCAGCCCAGAGTGTACACTCATACTGCCTAAAAAATCTTTCTAAGCACTGGAGGTAACTATGCCACTGCTGAAAAATAGGTGCTAAGTAGCCTGCATTAAGACTGTCAAACTGGCAATCCTGCTCCATCTGGATCCTGAATGATTTTCCATCATCATATAACAGTATAAGGTTCATTTGCCATCTGGCTCCTGAATCAACTGCTGTCATACAAGCAGCACCCAGCTGGTCCAGGGTCAAGATTATTTTGTTATTTGGGGTATCTCTATTTTTATTTTGAGTAATTTTCCTTGCTGACTAGTTATCAAAGAGGGCTGCAAGCAATTGTTAGTGGATTACTGGGAAACTTTAGCAAACCCTCTAATGGTACTCACTGGGATCAGTGTTGCAGCAGCAAACAGAAAAGACCTGGATCTGGCATTGTTATAAATTCTAGGCCTGGGGTGTCTGCATGCACTGAGTTCATTGGCTTATTTGGAACTCAGGTACTTCTGCATTTTTCTTACTCCGTTCGTGGCTTTAGGAGTAACAGATACTAAGATGAAAAAAAAAGAACCATCTTTAAATGCATTACATTTGGGACCCAGGTGTTAAAGTTCTGAAACTCATCATTACTTTTAAAAACTTTTGCCTATTTGCTTTATTCTTTTGGCCATCATCAATCCTTTCACAGTCTCAGTTGTTTATACTTTTCCCTGAGCTTTCCTCTGAAATATCTGGTTCAAAAGTGTAATGAAGGCAACTCATTCAATGAAAGAGTCTCCTTGCCCCAAGGAAACTGCGAGGTTGGAGCAGGACTTTGCCGTGAGCGCTCCATGAACAAGCACAAGTGGTAAAACAGGCACTGGTTGTGGAGCTCTCCAGCTACTGGAACACTTAATTTCTCATTTTTCATCCTTATTTCTTTTAAAGCCGTTTGTAATAAAGCTACAGCCTGAAGTGGAAGAACTCACCTTAGCTGTAAAGCTTCATTGCAAGGCAGCAAATTGCACTGTATCATAATATCAACCTTATCTAAGATTCAAGGAATGAATTATACATATTACATTGCCTTAAAAATGAAACCTGGTGAAGTATTACTGTAATTTGAAAATCTAAGTGGATTTGTACAGTGAGATTTAAAATTTAAACCTGTTTAAATATTAAACTGGTTGGGAAAAAATATTTTTGAGAAATGGTATTCAATAGGAAAAGGATCTTCATTCAGAGAAAAGACAGCCCCAAACTAATTCTGTCATAAGAACAAACCATTAAGAAACATATTCACTAAGCAACTTCCATCTAGGAAAGCACATAAAATCACAGTCACCTGAACATGTTATAATGTCCCTTAGTGTGAATTTATGCTGAATTAGGAATTCAAGGGAATGCAAGATATCATCCCTGCAGGATGATAACAGAGATATTTTGGGCAATATGGATTGTGTTAATGTTATTGTATTGATTTATTTTGATCAAGTAAAAGAAAACAATTACTGTTGGTAGCTGATGCATGACTTTTTGTATGTATTTCTAAAAGCACAAGCCATAGTGCTGATCAAATCCCAGGGTCTCGATTGTTGATGTCAGTTCTCAGATGAAGTGGTGTTTTAGCCCACATCCTCCAGAAATCATTACCTCTTGTCATAGCAAAAGAGACACCTCTGTGAAAGCAAAGTGTGTTTCTATCCTTAATCTGCTACTTAGTTGACCAGATCAAGGACCAAACTGGCAGATGATCTTTCATCTTATGAACACAGTCCTGCTGGAGTTTCATTTTACCTCTTCCTCTGTGAGCGTTGTAGGATTTTATAGGCACCATTTTCCTGCTTAATAATTATTGACTGTCATGCTGTTTACATACCAGCATGGTTTGGCTCTGATAAGGGTGGTGGGTAGAATGTTTTAGCTAGCAAAAAGGAGAGATTGGCCCAAACACTGTCTCACAAATGTACTTATATTAGTGAGGTCATCTTGAGATTGATCTGAAATCA